CAAACATTTGGGCATTCCCCATCATCCGCCGAGCGGCCGAGTTTTGACAAAGACGCATGGGAGAAGTGCATTGCCAACGTGAGCTTGTTGCTCATGATATCCTCATGTCTACTTGCAAGATCATGGGTGTTTGTCATTGGGGTTTTAAGTGGGACAACTGTTACAAACTACCATAGTCCTATTTGAGGTCCAAAGAATAACTCTACATGAAACTACCCCTGAAGCACCAAAAGCGGACGGCTGCCGCACTATTTGCCGTGGGGTCCTGGAGAAGAATCATTGCGGCTACTTATGGAGGGGGTTCAGGATCTGGGGTGGCTGGGGGTTCTCAAACCCTAGATCCTAAACCACATGGCTGAAAAAAGAAGCATGGGCTGAACCCAGCGCCAATACCGAGAACCTCTATACTTCCATATGAAAAGCCCACCTATCTCCATCATTAACCAACTTGATGAGTCCCTATGACCCTCACAACCTAGAATGACAAAAGTCCTGCAGGTTAATTTTCGAATCATAACTATAGCAATAACAAACACCTTGACACTTCTGGTCGTAGTAACGATGTCAAGAAAACAGAAGGCAATTTCCGAACCACCCTGCTACATGTAATTCCTTTTGGGGGAGGCCTGCAAGATTTTGTGCGCAATCCAGACTACAGGTTAGGTTGGCCCCCGCCCACCTACTAAAAAAGTGACCACAAGGGATAAGGCAGTCAGTCAAACTGGGGTCCCTACATTTGGGTGGTGGTCAAAATTATGGTCCCTTTATGGGTACCATAAAGGGACTAGGGTTTAGGGTTTAGGGATCCCCTAGAACCATTGGGGGAATTATATAAGGATTATATAGGGGTTATAATGGGTCTATATGGGGGATCTAATTTTTAGATCCTCCCAGGGGTCTGGGAATGAAATGAACAAGGAATGGCAAGCAGGCAAATTGTCCTTTCCTTGTCATCCAAGGCACGCATGGTGTGTTGGGCAGGCTCCACCAGTTCTTGGACAGGGCCCAGTAAGTTTGAAAAATGAAGGGTTTTGGCTTTTCGGTTTAGGGTGTCCCTACACGAAGGCTTATACTGCATTGGGGTCTAGTAGTCTAGTGTGTGGATTCCTGCTCAGGAATGCTTGAACGGTCCCAGTTGACAGCTGATGCATTGAGCACCGGCCCATGCACAAAACCTACTGGACGAGTTGCCCCGATGTTTGGCAGGATTTGGGGTCTTGGGGCTTAGTTGGGTTCTCACATGTTCAGGCTTTGGGGTTTAGTCTTCTATAATGATTTGGAACTGAAGGCTGGCGCCATAAGGTTTAGAGATGAGTAGCTTTCAGGGTCGGAAAACCTTGTGGTTGGGATTTGTGGCCCATGCCGTAACCCCCCTTGGGCCCCTTGCCTTGCGCCAACCCCGAGCCCTCAACCTGAAAACAAAAACGCTAATCCCTAATCCAACCCTAAGGGTTACAGTGCCTGCCAGCCACAAACTTCCCCCACACCGATACTACAGTTCCCAGTGCCCAAAACCTGACTCCTGGGTACTCGGACCATAAACCCTGAACCCGAAACTCTGGCCCCTAAAGCCTGAACCCTAAATCCTGAACCCTAATCCTAAACCCTGAACCCTAAATTCTAAACCCTGAACTCTAAACCCTGTGGCCCGGAACCCTCCCGGAGCGCAATCTTTTTTCTTCAAGCAGCATCGCCGTCTCCGATGACATTGAGGAAGACCATGTCCTTCGGCTTCTGCATCTCTAGGGCCTGCCGCGCGGGGATTGATACGATGCATGCGAAAATCAGGCTACATAGGCTACAAAGGGTGAGATAGGGGTTTATAGGGATGGTATACGGCCTACAGGGGTAGCACTCCAATGATGGAGAAGTAAATGGGCAAGAACATGGAACATGAAATGGGGTAATACCGGGGCCTTAGCAATTGACAAGATCATGTTGAGGTCCATCTCGGGTATGCTGCAAGTCTATAAGGGGCTCGAGACCATCATATTGGCAATTGCATGGGGTTCTACAGCATTTAGGGTCACTCATTGAGCTTATGGATTTGCTTGCGAGGAGCTATCTTTGCCTTAAGGGCCCCTGTCCCTCTTGCGTACGTCTGCGTTTCAGTTGGCTCTTGCCACGGACCGGCTATGAGACCTTGTCAGCCCCGAAACCTACTTACCCAGTAATGGGTACCACAAAGGACTAGACTAGGTATATCAAGGCCCTATTTACTCCATATTTAGG